TGAACATAGCACTTTGTCGATGTTTCAGTTCCTTGTTTTTTGCTGTTTTAGATTTGGGATTCCTGTCATAAAATTAACAAAGCACCGTTTTGGGCTCTACCCGGAATTGCTGCTACTACTTCTCATGCAGCCGTCAGTGCTTTGGTAGGTTTTAATATTCCCCCTTCTATTAAAGTAACCTTTCAGAACTACAATTTTGCGGCCATCCTCTTTTTCATTATTTTCAATTTATCACCTGTCTTTTTTTCGACACATTCTAACTGTTAATAGTGATTTCCTCTGTTTACAAATTGAAATAGCAGTACGAGTTCCTAGAAGAAGTAAAGGCTGTCCCATAATTTCGAGACATTATAAACTAATAGTTTCCTATTTAACACATGGTGCTGTATGTTTTCATATTGTATCGAACTTGATTTGTTCAGAGTTGGTACAATTCTGCTGGATACCAACCAGTCGTGCTCATAGTTCAAGCTTGTCTTTTGTTCGTATGCACACTTTACTGCAATAACATCACAGGCTCGACGCTAAAGTCGATGTTAATTGGTGAGTTTGACGAAGACTTCGTGATTTCGCTTTGCTGATAGCATACATATTTGTTTTGGGTCGTGGTGCAGGTATGCTCAAGTACAATCTATACTTTGCTTAACTCCCACATTTCTAAATGCATCATAGAGAAAACCATCTTAATTACGTACGTCACGATTTGGATTGTCTCAGGAATTCGCTCTGCGTTGGTTGACTGGTTCACTTTGAAATGGCTGAGAAGTAAGCTAATAAAAAAGGACGAAACACCATTTTCTGGTGCTGAAGAAATGGAAGCAGAAGAAAGAAGAGATGTTGATGCTTGATTTTCTCTAGTTAGCTTTGATAGTGTATAATTTACGTATAGAGGAGAAAATCTTACTTTTAATCTTTATCCCCTCATCACTTCCCAACATATCGCTACTGTTTTGCCACCTTCAGCTTATGGTTAAAAGTCGATTCTTGCTGGTTTTTTTGTTGCTTTCAATTCTTATGATGTTTGTGACCGTTCGATATTTCTCTCCTTCTTCATTTTGATCTCAATCATTCCATAAAATTCTGTTGAGATGGGTATATTTATAATAGTTGATATCTTCTGTCTTTTCATTCAGTTACTGTCGAGCATTATTTATGAACAACTATACGCAGATGAGTTTTTTTTTGCTTTCGATTAATCTTTTGGATGTGGATTATGAAATCAGTTGTTTCGCTTTGGATGAACTTCTTTCACTTGTTTTTTTTGGAGTACTTTGTCGTTTAATTGTTTCCACGTTGAGTATCAACTCTGTCCGTAGGATGTGGAGTTTGCTGTCCGGCAATCGTTGTTATTCGAACACCGAATTCTTTTTACGCAACTAGAAACCGTAAAAAGGCGTTTAAGTTATTTTCCAACTCAGAATCTGTATATGGCAATAGAATCATATTCATATGGAGTGAGTCGACTTTTTATAATGTGCTACATGTAGTGAATTGTGCCGCTAACCTAGTGCAAGTATCGCCAGATGACGCAATGCGAAGCCTTTGGCTCCATTGCCAGATTCAACTTGATCAGAAATTGCAAAATTGGGATGTTTTCGAGACTTTTCTTCCTTAATAAACCAATTACCTTTACAGAATTTCAAAGTTGTAGTCGATGCTTAGCATAAGATTGATAACACTCACAACTATGAGCGTTGGATTAGAACGGTGTCGACGCCTAGAAATCGCATCGAGTGAGGGTTTTCGTCGTATACTGATTATTAATGCGCCCTTAGGGTATCTCCATACTTCATAAGGATCGGCCGATTGAGGGTGCACGGCGGTTATGTTGCTACGCCGTAGTCAAATGCATTTTGCATGAGGTTCCGTACTCGTCTTTCCGGCATACTTCGACTTCTGAGAACTCTAACACAACCTGAAGAGAGAAAGCGAGTCAAATCGGAAGGAAGAAAAATGCGGAAAGACCGGGATAGAG